GTTCTTGTTGAATAATCTTCGTGAGCTTCTTGACACCAAAGGTGTGGTATACCTGTATGGTACAACTGTACAGATAAATAGGGTTAGCCTTGTAAGTTTTTCCAGTTCAATCTTCCTCTTGAAGATGATCACTTGGTGATCGAAACACGTGTCGAGGTGTTAAAAATAACGGTTTGGTGTTGGGAAAAAACTCCAGTAATATTTTAAAACAGAAGAACCATTTGAAAAAACTAAAAATTGAAATATAATTATTCAGATTAGCGAAAATTGTTTCCTGAAGAGCTATTATTGGTATTTTCAATGAAATAGAAATATTTCTTCGAAACGAAACGATTGAAATAAACTTTATACTTTGTTGATTTCACCGAATGTAAATATCAAAGTACTTATTTCCACTTTTAACTTGCTTTGAGTGTTTTTTCTGCGTATTGAAATTAGAGCCTGGAAATTCGTTCTAAAAAATAACTTGTTCATTGTTTTCCTGCAAGGCAACAAATCTGTTATCAAATTTAACCTTGTAAAACACTGCTTATGAAGCAGAAGAGTTTAGTTATAATGTTAGGTTTGCTATTCTTATCTGTTCTCAGTAACACACGACACATAACTAATTGATCTATGACACCAAAAAATTTGCAGAATTGTAAATATACCGAGAGGCAATACTAAATGTATAGTATTTTTTTCAATACATAATATATTCACGAAAACATAAAGCTCACAGTAGAACTAGAAACCAATAATTGGACTTAATTTCAAAAAAAAGGAAACCAATAACACATGTGCTGCCACCTTTTAGAGAACAACCACGATTTCAACAAGGACTACTACATATTAGATACAGAAAACAAAGGACAAAGTGAAACTGTATTGTAATTGTTTCTTCAAAGAAAGACTTTCTACTTGTCCTCCTCCATCTTCATACAAAAATTTGGTAAACTTTCAAAGTATAACGAGAAACCCAAGGGACCCTAGCCTACTTGGATGTACTTGTGAACAGAATGAATATAACAATTGGGCCACAGAACGTACAGAAAACCAACACACACAACACAGACAGGTATCTGATCAAAAACTAACCACCAGCTACAACAAAAAAGAGGGATATGCCTTCAAAGCAAATTCCACATAGGTGGAATTGGTTTTCTTTAGTTCGAAACCCTTTTCATGTTAGAAGATACTCATTTTAAAATTCTTCAAAGTCCCTCCTATATAAAGTTTTTGGTACAATCCACATGTTAGTTTGACAAATCAGGGGTCTATAAATATATTTTTTTGATTGATGCAACTAGTTTTCCTTCATTTGTTCACAAAAAAGATTTGAAGCTTTAATAACTTCTTATTATTATATGCGAGCGCTTTCGATAGCAGGTTGTGCTATCATCTTGATGGCTCTACTCAAACTGAACGTTTTATCTTCTTGTTTGTTCTTTTATACGGTTAGAACGCCTTAGTGCAGGTATTTATCCTCTCCTTTCATCCGGATATCTATAAATTTGCCAGTACTTAGGTTACAACAGGTAATATCCTTTGTGTTGGTGTTTCTTTAGGTTCATTGTTTCCAGGAATGTGTATTGTATTGTGAACTATATTGAATGTTAGGTCTTGTTAAGTTTTGATCTGTATTTGTTCCTCGATAAGTGAATTACGACTTCTAAATTTATGGATGTTTAGATTTTCCCAGATGTCCATACTGTTTCCTTTATTGACTTGTTTTATGAGTTTGATATTTTCTTTCCCTCACCAGATTCGTGATTGCCCCTTCATTTGACGAATATCGGTGTCCTTCGAGCGCAATTTTCAGATGAGGGAACAAAAAGAAGTCGCTTATGGCTAGATATGGTGAATTAAGTGGATGATTAAGCAGTTCAAAACGTAATTCGTGAATTTTCGTCATAGCAACCGCTGAAGTTTGAGACGGTGAGTTTTGCCACAAGTTCTGCCTTCAGCTTGTCAAGTAATGATGAATGATGCGTATTAAGCTCTTGCAATGTTTTGAAGACAATCGATTAGAATAACTTCATGACTATCCCGCTTTGTAGTCCACTGTTTGAACTGTATTTTTGTTTCGGTCGTATAATGGTGTATCCATAATGGCTGAAACTTTGTTGAGTAACTGTCAACTAGCTTTTATTTACGATTGCTGCTGTCTTCATGTTGAGGTCGGAAACTTTTTAGACCACCCTCGTACATACGAAAAATTGTGTCACTCGTTAACATATTTATAGATTACCTGTTTCCCTAAAAGTAATATTATATTGTAATTGTTTTTTTTCGAAATCTATCCACTTACCAGACATGATCATTTGTCTAATTGAGTGTTTTAATCAAGTACTGTTATAAAAAAGACATTGTAGAATAGTATCAGTACCGTGCTCGGAATCTCACGTTAAAAGGTGAGACCTCGTTACTCCCTAGCTTCGCCTATTGAGGGTTGTCGTACACAAGGAGCAGACAGCTGTTTAATGGCAAAACAGAGTTTAAACTGATGAAGATGCCGTGTAGCGAAACGCTTGTTGTTTGATCATTACCATGAATAGTGTTATTAATTTTCATTGAAATTCCACGCTTAGCAGTAGCACAATCTTTTGCACTTGTAATAATAATTATATCGTACTTTATCAAAACATTCACTTACTCTTCAGAGATGACAACCCTACTCCACTGGTACTGACACTTGGACGACCTCTGATCACAATGTCTTCTACTTTGTAAGTGGGAACAGCAGCAGAAGGTTCGTATGCTGGATTAGCGAAACTGAGGGAATTTCCAGTGGGTGGTGGACTGGTTTGGATCTTTAGTACTCCGTACTGGGTATCTGTGGTTTCAATCTGAAAACAAAGGATGGATTTTTCGGTTTGTGACTACAGAAGTATAAGAAAACTGACCAAAATATAGTAATCAATAATAACGCAGAATTGACAGAAGATGCATCTATAATAATACAAACTATAATAGAAAATCTGAATGTTTGGATGTTGATATGGGTGTCCCACAAGGTTCCGTCTTGGGACCTGTGTTGTTTATTTTGTGCTTCAATCAGATTGATTGTATTTTAAAGAGTTGTCACCACTCTAAAATCTGAATGTCTGGATGTTGATACGGGTGTCCCACAAGGTACCGTTTCGGGACCCGTGTTGTTTAGTTTGTACTTCATTCAGATTGATTGTATTTTAAAAAGTTGTCACCACTCTGCCTACGCAGATGATTTATCATTGGCGTTGTTATCATCTGACACTTATTTCTAGATGGTAAATGTAGATAATATATAAATTTTTTTCTTTGGGAATAACTCACCAAGCCAGCATCTTCTGTCGGTTCCAAAGTGATTCTAGTCTTGGCCCTCTCACATAAAGCTATATAAAACTGAATAAAGTCCGTTCGTCTTATGAGATGGTACATGGCGAAGCAAGTGGCAACTGAAGATACCGACACCGTGAAGAAATAGATGGTACTACCTCGAAGTTCTTTCACCAAGAACCTTGTCAGAACTCGGACGGTTGATGTAAATACTCCGGAAGTACCTGAAAGGAACATACTTTCAAGTAAACGAAAGTGAAGAAGAAATGTAAGAATGAATTGCTAACTCTTTATAACTTCCAGAGACATTGGGAGAGAGGGAATATACTAAATGGTAAAATAGATTTTCTTCTCTTTCTTTCAAAATTCATCATGAATATTAACATCGCGAGTAAATAGATCATACGTATTTTTTACTTTCATATTGATAAATTTTGGACAAAAATAGTATGGAAATATTTTCATTGTTTCCCTGTCCAAGAAATACTAATACTCACTCACTTACTCACTTAGGTTAGGTTAATAATAATAATAATATTTATTTTCCAAAAGACATAGTACAATATGTATAGGAATAGTCGGGACAACAAAAGGTAAAAAAGTAAAAAGTAAAAAGATTGATAAGCTAGACAGTAACAGGCTTATCACCAACTACATATTAAAATATTCATCCAATGAATAAAAACATTTTTCAATTAAAAATTTTTTCAGTATCTTGTTGAATTTCCTACATTCATTGACATTTTTATATCGTGGGGTAGTCTGTTATAGATTCTCAGCCCCATATGATCAGGTGAGTTATAAGTGATTTTATATTTGCAAAACGAAATGTGAAAATGAGTTTTTGACGAGTGTTAACGTCATGCAGGTTTGCATTTTTGTTGAATTTAGTTTTATTTTCATGAACATAATTACAAAGTTCATATATGTAGAGTGAAAATAATGTCAATATGTTATATTTAACAAACAGTCCTCTAGCAGAGTTCGTGGAGGAAACGCCGGCCACAATTCTTACAACTCTTTTTTGCATGATAAAAACGTCATTTATTGAAGTGGAGTTGGCATACAAACAAATTCCATACCAGATTCGAGATGCTACTTGGGAGTGATATAAGGATAGTAGTTGAGGCTCCTCCAGGACCTGCTTGAGACTTCTGAACATATAGCATAAAGAATTCAATCTTTTATTCAAATAAGTGCAGTGACTTTTCCAGTTCATATTTTCATCGACAACTAGTCCGAGAAATTTTACTTCGTTTATGTTACATATTAGTGTGTCACTAACGCAAACATTCAATGAAAGACAATTTTTTTGCCAATTATGAAATTTGACGATTTGGGTTTTTGTTGCATTCAGATATACCACCACTCGTTTATAGAACTGAGGACTTGTTCGCATTTCTGTTATGCTGCAATTTCATCCTTGTCCGATATTATCACAGAAGTACCTATCATCAGCGTACATGGTAGCAGGGATCCCTGTAAGGTATTTCTCAAGATCATTGGTACACAATAAAAATAAAATTGGCCCCAATATAGACCCTTGTGGAACTCCCATGTTAACCACTTTAGTTTCAGAATTAACGAATGTGTTTGCTCCGGAAATACGTTCCGAAATTTGTACATACTGAGTACGTTCAGTTAAGAAGGAAGAAATCCAATTAAAAGCAGAGCCTCTGATTCCATAGTTGTACAACTTCGATAATAAAAGCTGATGATTAACACAGTCGAATGCCTTGCTGAGATCACAAAAGACCCCAGCAGGGCATTCTCCTGATTCCAAATATTCAATAACTTGGTTAAAGAACGAAATTGCAGCCGTATTCGTTGAATGATTAATTCTAAACCCATGCTGATTTTCACTTAATATATTAAAACCATCCAAAAATTTCAACAACCGTTCAAGGAAAGAATATTCAAAGATATTTGAGAAGCTTGACGTTATTGTTATGGGACGATAGTTATCCATTTCGCTAGTTAGGTCTAAAGTGAGTGGGTCTATTCGACCCTCCACCGCAACCCGCAAGGGTTTATTGTGGCTCACACCTATTCACACTCCACCAAATAAACCCAACTTCTCAACAAAGGCGATTACTTTGTATGGTGAGAGGTCTTTCAGGTACGGCTCTGCCGTACTCTTCCTGATTCGGTCCCCAGCGGGGCAGGCACACAGTATATGCTCTGCTGTTTCATTATTTTCCAAACAGAGGCGACACACACTATCTTCCGACAGTCCAAGTCTCTGCATATGATGATTCAAATGACAGTGACCAGTAAGAAGGCCTGTTAGACATCGTAGTTCATCCCTACTGTAGTACAACAACTGTTTGGTATCAAGCTTCGAATGAAGCCGCTTGCAGCACCCTCCTTTGCAAGAGAGTCAGCAGCTTCATCACCTTCCAGGCCAGGAATATAGACCAGAGACAATCTGTTAAGTCTTCCTATCGGCGAGAGTCGTTTTTGGCAATTTGCTACCAACTTAGACGTTGCTTGGTAGGAGCCAAGAGTTTCCAATCCCTCTTGGATAAATCCAACCTCACACAATTCAATAGCGTAAATTTCCGCTTGAAACATAGTGTCATAAGTTCCTAGGCTGGTAGATATCTCTGTCCTGGGTCTGCGACTAAAAACACCTGCACCAGAACCGGAAGGTGTTTTTGATCCATCTGTGAACCAACTATCTGCTCTTAACATTTCCTTCTCCCCACTTACTTTTCCATTCACTTCTCCCCACTTACTTACTTACTCACATACATTTTTGAGTTTTTCTTTTCTCTTATTCTAACAAAAAATGGAAAACATTTTGAATCACTAAGTCCGAATCACTTTGTGGAAGTTCCCAGAGATCTGGAAACTGTGAGTAGAATCATCTACAAAAATTAAAGATTTGGCTTGGATTTAAGTTGATATCAGGTCATTTAAAGTTACTATAAGAAGTGGACCCGGAACCTACTCTTGAAGAACACCTCGTAATATGTGTCGAAATATCTAGTCCAGTTCTAGTTCCTCACGCCCCAATTTGTAGATTACAATATTCAACATCGTTACAGGATTAGTTCATTATTCATACCATCAGAAACACATTTGAAAAGTTATTTCATTTGATGAGATTTTTTAGAAACGAGATGACTCAGAGACTCATTTACGTCCCTGAACATTTTAATAATTTCTTGTTTCAACCACTATGAAAGTATCAATAATAACTTGTAGGAGAAAAAGATATTCCACATACATACAGTTGAAATGGAAACACCCTCATAAAGTATACTTTTGAAACGATTGGATTTTTTTTCAGGTAGATAATTGGGAAGTCTACTAGAATACCAAATTCAATGAACGAGTTTTCCTTCAGGACCACCTTTCATCATTTTTTAATATTATAAATCAAACATTATTTGCGATTTCTTTTTGAATCTAGTTACACGACTAGAATTACGTAGTTTTGAAATGGTGTATGTAGATATTACGTAGAAATGCGTTCGTCATTAAAAAAGCTATAATGGAATAAAATTCGAAAAGCATGCTATTTGATTATCTTGCCAATTCATCAAAATTTTGACAACTCCACTCAACAGATTTTTTTGTTTGCCATTCAAGTTGTAATGCATACTTTGCTAGTTTCGTTCCACACTAATACGAAATTCAGGATACTTACTTTCCCCCACCATTACAGCTTGGGTGTATTTCGGTGGTAACATGCTGGTGTATCCATAAAAACTCGATTGCTGAACTGGAAAAATGTTGATAATGATAGTGAATTAAGTTACCAGGACGATACTACTGTCAAAAAAATATTTCACTGGCCTTGTTTGCCGAGCCCACATCGTTCCATTCGGCGCCCAACGCGGGGCGCCAGCGGTAAAGATACGGGTTCAGGCAAATAAGGACATTGAAATTAACAGATTTTGAATCACTAGTAAAATATTTTTCAATAGCAGTTTGTGTATTCAAAAAAATGTGGCTTATCAGGAAATTGTTTTTTATTTAAATCCCTAAACATCGAATACTCACCAGTACAACCAATTGATACAACGGCCACTGCCGCTAAATTAACAGTATAAGAAGTGGCTGATCCAAAAGCTTCCCACCATACTTCGCAGACTACTACGAAGATCAGAGTGATGAAGGACATAATGTAACCTACAAAAAATATGAATGACAGAACCTGGAATCGGAAGATCATTCGGTATTCATTTTCCTTTCTGTCTATCCCTTTTTCAATTCAGTTTCCCTTGACTATGATTTTGAATGAAGGAGTAGAAAGAACTAACCGAAATTTATTCTGGAATTCAGCGAGAAAGTTTCCACAAGCAGATTGTTTCCAAGAACAGTCAACAAGGCCACTGCTATGTATACCAAGGACATGTCGAATACTACTGGAGTTCCAGGATATCGCACTTTGAAGTAATCCATGGCCATGATGAAACTAAAAAAACAAGAGATAGTTATTAAATACAATAAGATTTTCACGTCCAGATGTGTTATGACTTTGAATTTCACTTCCTAACTTTAGTTTGGCAATAAAATTTCAATGAATATATTTGAATGACTGTCAAAGTTTTCCCATGAAATGTTGTTGGTAATAAAAATAGACTTTCGTTTTTCTGAAAATATAGCAAATTAACTTTCCATACTAAATATTTTTCTATGAATAATAAAGATTGTTATGTTACAATTTTATTGAAAGTGTTGAATATTTCCAACATTCACTTTAATGCATTCAATTTAAAATTTGATTACGTGTTAGGAATCACACGTTAAAAGGTAATACCTCGTTAATCCTTAGCTCGCACAAGTTTCGACTTCTGAGGGTTGTCGTTCGTATGGGTGCGACAGCTGGTTAACGGAAAAACAGATTTTAAACAGATTTTTTAAACTTTTGTGCAAAACATTCTCAAGCAAGTATCATTTTATTTCATCAATCTTTTTTAAAAGCTCATTTCTGACATAGAATTAAATTTTTTGATGATTCAAAAAGTTTGTTGTATTTGAAAGATACATTTAAAACGATTGTTGATAATTTTAATTCGGCGCTGGTATCGAGCGGATTTATCAAGAACTTCAAGCGTTACATATGGCAACATGCTAGTTCATTTATAGTACGACAAAACGCCGTGTCGTTCAACCGTGCTGTGCCGTGGCGCCGAATAAATTGAATATTTGTGACAATAAAAAGTAAAACGGCGTTCCACAGATACATTTTTGTTATATGTCAATTGCATCTAATTATATTATTTCATTTATATTATTAATATCATTTGTAATTTGCCAATTTAATATGTAATATGTGAATTTAATTGAACTGAATGTTATTTTTTAGTATATTTTCTTTAACATTTCCTGTAATTGGGTGTACATCTGTTGGAAATAAAGTGCTATCAGGGCCGTCGCCATAGGGGGGGAACCTCCCCCCTGCTTTTTCGACTTGGGAAAAAGTTGGGAAATATTGGGCCATGAAGATAGTAAATAGTAAAAAAATTGATAAAAATTTAAAAAACAAAAATGAGAGGAAATGAAAGGAGAGGTTATAAGAAAAGGGAAAGAACCAGGAGTAGGTTGGGATTTCCTAACATGCATAACTTGAAAAGAATTCTGAGTGGTTTGAAACCTTCAAAAAAGTTTGATTTCTCCAAGAAAACAGTCCTGAACAGTCCACAAATTTTGATGTGACAATTTTACAAAATTCCCAACTTTTTGCTGTTTTTTCGACTTGGGAAAGTTGGAAAATTTCGGGCCGTGAAGATAGAAAAAATAATAGTAGAAAACAATAAGCACAATATTATTAAAGTGTTGTTTCCTTTCATTTGTATTGAATATTCCTATACATGGTGGAAGACCAAGGACCTTGGTCCAAAGTAAAATAATTCCCATTATTATTTTTATAATCACCAAAATTTATTTTTGTTTGTGCATAAGCATAAGCATTCAGCCAATCTTTGGATAGCTAAGTGAGAAAATTAATATATTATTATAGTAGTAACTAATCCCTCGGATTTAATTTCTTCGAAAGTTGGGAAATTTTGCTGGTGAGGTTGGGAAAATTTGGATTCCCTTCCCCCCCTGGTTTTTCATTTCGCTACGGCCCTGAGTGCTATCTATCTATCTAATATATTCTGAGAAAGTTTTGGTTACTTTACTTCATTTAATACCTAGTTTTTTGAGAATTATATTTTGTGTATTTTGTAGGCAGCGGTAAAAATTCTGAACAGGAGAAAGAAAAACCGAATCACTCAGTTAGAACACCTGTTGAACCCCTATCATGCACCCTCAACCCGCTCCATGGGGCATCACTTCCTTTCCGTTCTAAAAATGCTCTCGATCATACCTGTTATAGGGTAGCAGAAAACCAGCTCCGCCAAGAACGAAGGCTAAATAAACGGCATTGTATGCGTCCAAAGGGGGCGACAAATTGGTAAAAGCACCCCTAGTGTGATGGTCCGTCTCCCTCTTCGCTTTTCCGAGTTTGGCATATCCGTGGACGTCGTTTCGTTCTTCTTCCATTACTGACTACGTTTCTAATTTTTGTTACCCTTCATTTTCGGGCTGTCACTGGCACTCTCGCTCACGATCTTCGATGGGCGGGGAAGAATTTTCAGTTTTTCTCGGTATCTGATTCCGATTTCGACTTATTCTAGGAAATGGAGGTTCACTTTTCACTGATGCGCATGATGGGGTGGTATTGATTCGTGCGCGGTTCAGGGTGGTTGTTGCATTCGATTTTTTTTGCGAACATACAGGGGCTTCGGAAGCGCAGAAGGGCCACGTATTTGGTTCCTTGACTTTGAACGTCGAAATTGCCACAAAAACACTAAATGCTTTGATAGTAAAAAACATTTCTGAGAACAATTCTTCATTTTCGTGCGCTAAAAAGAAAATAAAAAACTTCAAATTGAATCAAACCCATCAGTTCTTTATATTATCTGTACAATTAATTCGACATAGATAATATAACAGCTCAAAAGCTACAAACGTTTTTTTATTAATTTTTTGTCAATATCAAGTTACATATTATATTTTTATTATCATACATAGAGTTATCAATTTTCATCAAGTAACTGGCCAGTGTATTATTATTCTTCTTTCTACTTAGGTACATATAAATCTCGCGAGAAGTTTCTATATACTATAAATTATGTAATGTAATGAATTGATGGGTTTGATTTGAGTTTATTTTCCTCTTATTAATGCATGTTCGTGGAAGTTTGTTCTCAAAAAAACTCTTTTTATTTATTGTTTTATTTTTCAATTTCAAATTTATATAATTTGCACTGTATGTTCCAAAAATTTATTATCTGTATATTTTTGAATTGTCATACAGGAGTTGTACAGCAATATAAATGATATATTAGTTTCAATACACTTTGGTATCAAAAAAATTGAAACTAAGAATCATACAAATAATAATAATTGTTTGAAAAGCTATCTAATACCATTGTCTATAGATTTATTAGACAATGCTAATACATTTGATTTATCGGTAATATTTCAAAGGTTGTTGCTACCGCCATCTATTAGTAGGTAGTGAGCAGGTAAAAACGCCTCTAACTTTACAGACTTCTTAAAATTTTTTGAGTGAAGAACTTATTCTGGGCAACACGAGATAGTGGATATTTTTGGTCAGACCTTATACAAAGGTCATAACAAAGAATACAAAGCCTATAGAAGCTCAAATGTGGCATTTTCATGTCACCTAAAATTTTTAGTACTTACCCTGACCTTCAGAGGGCAATGGCAGTACGATGTCAGAAATGGGTAGCGTCGCTGACAAACTAGTCGGCTTTCAAATTCTATTCTATTTTAACGTACATCCTAACTACGATATGGGCTAAGGATAAATGACTTTGTATTCTTTGGGCATGAGTTAGTCTATATACAAAGGTCATACAAAGCAGATAAGCATTATATACTTGATGTACTTTATCTTTATAGGAATAGAAACCTTTCGTAGAAATTTATGCCGCCACTGAAAGATGTCACTAAAATTAATTTTCCAACCAAATAAGGCGAGTTCAGTTTCTTTAAAAATTTTATACCTTATAAATTTCAAATAAATACAGAGTGCTGATGTCAATTGTGCCGAATGAAAGAATACATGTGTATCTGCTGTTTACAGACGCTGGTCGTTATTCCCAGTTGCAATAGCAAATTCACTCTTATATGCCTGGAAAAATAGTATCACTGACTTTTGTTACGTTTCTACGCTTTCGTATTTCTATCCTTCGTACTATTTGAAAAGTTTCTAGAAAAAAAATTGCATCTGTCATAACTTATTTTTTGTCGCTAAAATGTGACTCGGCTTCAATAACAATCAACCTGAAATTTTTCGTTGAATTTAAGAACTCTCCTATATGTCGTTGCATGTCATTTGTCTTCTGTCGAAATTATTCATGTCATATGTCATATGTCCCAATCGTCAACGTCATACGTCATGAAGTCATCTGGAAGGTATTTCGTACGGTCTTTGTAAATTTGCAAATATTGTTTATTTAATGTTCACTATATTAAGTTTATTGTTCCGCGAACGTTACAATTAAACATTTCCGTGCACACTCAGCCGAAACGCCTCACATTCGCTCATTTCACGAAAACCATAAACCATGTATACCGTCAAATTAGCCAAAAATCCATGTAATTTATGACATGTGTTTGACTTCAAAACATTGATATGTAATTAACGGATTGAAAGATCAAACTTGTGATATCGATAGTGCAAGTCATGGGCGCTAAACCGAGTACAGCGAATGGCACTCAGAGCCCTCGAACTAGGGCCTTCTCCACGAGCAGTAGTTCTGAAGTGGTCACGGCCCCCGGGTTCCGCTTCATGCGTTCCCTCGGGATGGACATGTCCAACGACAGGCAGAGAGCCAGGTCCCTGTCGAGCGTTCCTGATCTTCACGCTAGTCACGAGGCCCTTTCCCTGCCTCCCACAGGTGCTAGCTTCGATGTTTCCACGGGCGCGAGCCCAGAGACTGATAGTAGTTCTGCCGAGGAAGCTGCTAGTGTGTTGGGGCTGGGTTCGACGGCTGCAAACATAGCGCTCGGGAGGGTCTACGCTGCCCATTCGCTACCCTCGCATATTTGGTCTCTTAACGGTGAGTACATGATTTTTATTCAGGGTCATGAAATTGGAGTTCTTGAAATCATTTGAAGCAAGCAAAGTAAATTTTTGGTGTGAAAATGTCCATAAAGCATATCTTCAAAAATCTGAAACCTGATCAAGGATTTATAAACACAAACATTAATATACAACATTTAAATTAAGTCAGTCGTTCGGAAAAGTTTATTCATTTGCAGACTAAAGCTGGTGGAAAAATACCTGCCAAATTTTGATAACGAGAATGTTGTATTAGTAGTGCAATGCATATTTGAGCCAGGACAGGTGGAGTTCGTAGATCTGCATTAAGTTATACAAAACAAAAAAAAATTACGGATTCAATTATCAAAGGAATCACTAGCTACTAATACCACCTGAAAGACATCTATCTTGAGTTTTTAATGAACTACATGAGAACTCAACTTATCAAAAAGAAATGTAAAAGTTTGTTTCTCCTTCTGAGTTTGCTGCTCTCGAGTCACTCAAGTTTTTTCATGTTCAAACTTTGCAAATAGTCATTAACTCAGTTTGCTTAGGTTGTATTTTGTTGAATCATCGATAAAGAGAAATGAAATATGATGATTGAATTTTGTTCAGTATTTGTACAGTTTAGCTATCAATTTTTAGTCATGTAAAGTGCCTATAGGAGTCAGAAGTTAAACATGATTGAAAGACATTGTTTTACATCTTTGTCTGAAATATTCTGAAAATATTCAGCCTACTTTTATTACTCTATTGACATTTATCTAACTCAACCTGACTTGGTAATTTGATAGGCAATATAAACAAAATCAATAGTCTGCATGTGTTTATATTTCAACTGTATCGACTTTATTATCCGAAGAAACAATAAATCACTTCTGAAGACCATATCCAGGAGAAATACATACGTATGTATGTCACCTCGATATAGTCTTCAGAAACGTTTTGATCTCTGTTGGAGTATTAGTACAAGGGACATTTCTTCCCCGCTTTGGGCTTTGTTTAAGTGATGGAGCTGTTACTAGTTAACAATCTTTCTCTTAGACAAAGGTTTCATATGCGTCACGTTGAAATCAATCAAGGCACTATGCTGTTTGCGTCGGATCTTTCCTGCACTGATAATAATAATAATAATAATATTTATTAGTCTCAAGAAACACACAGTTTTTAGACACGTCAATACAATTTCTAAAATAGGTTTGAGAGGGTAAGATTTGTCAATATAGTTTTAAAAAAATGCTTGTAGATAAATTAGATTTACAAAAAAAAATACAAGTTAACAAGATAAAATTCCAATCTTATAAGACTTGACTAAAATGTAAAGCCATGAGCTTTTACAAATTATGAACACATAGCTAAAGTTGAGTAAAAGTTCGGGAGGTGACCACAAAAGTGTCTCTTTCTTCTTGGATAAATGGAAAAATTAATCAATTTCATATAAAGGATGTTTGGTTAATATTTTCTTCAATAAGTTTTTGAATCTTCTAAATGGCAAGTTACGAAATTCGGCAGATAAGGCATTGTATAGCTTAATTCCTATATTATCTGTTCTTTTCAACCTATTAGCTGTAGGAACAAGGTTTGATTTATTTCTTGTATCATGTTGGTGTATATCCTTGTGAGCAACTTCATTCAACAAGTTTTGTTGAACAAGAAGCAGATTTTCATAGACAATAACTGAATATAGGGTCATTATTTTAAGTTTTACAAATATTGGTCGACACTTTTCATCATAATTGGCAGAGATTATGCTTCTTACTGCAGATTTTTGAATGACAAATATTCTATTAAGATGTACCTTTGATGCATTATTCCAATTGATTATACCATACCTAAGGACTGAATGAAATAGAGAATGATATGTTGCAAGTGCCGCACTTTGATTTACTATTTTTTTGATTCTTCTGATACCAAAAACCGTCTTACTAAGTTTACTACACATGTTATTTATGTGGTCTATCCATTTCAGGTTCGAATCTATTTGAACTCCCAAAAATTTGGTAGAATTTTTGTTATCTCGATTTAAGCAAATTGTTTCAAAAGTTAGAGTTTCTGTTTTTCGTTCATTGAAAATCAAGTGATTTGGTGATATTTGGTGATATGTCAGTATGGATCATATGAGGATCATCTATTTTAACTATTTTTTTGCTGAAGGTTGCATCATCTGCATACAATATAGTTTCTATGCCTGACGAGTTCATCACGTGAGGTAGGCCGTTGATATATATTAGAAACAGAAGTGGCCCCAATATTGACCCTTGTGGCACTCCTCTTAATATTTTTCTATTTTTACTTTTGGTATTTCCTAGATCAACAGTTTGATATCTTTCGTTAAGGTATGACTTCATCATGTCCAGGCAGACACCTCTCACTCCGTAGAAATCTAATTTGGCCAATAAAATCGAGTTATTTACCGAGTCGAATGCTGAAGTAAGATCTGTAAAAACGCTCACATATTTTTCTTGGTTATCAAAGGTGTCTTTTATATCAGAAGTAATATCTCGTAATCGGTCTGTAGGTGATCTATTTGAATAATTTCAGCATGGTCCTGCTGCTGTATGAACGAGAAACATCTACGAGACTAACCTCTTAAGTATTAGCCGGGGAAGTAGTTGTTTTCCAGCTGTACCTACTGTGTCGGTAGTTGGGAGATGTGAATATTTCGAGATTTTATTAGTCTGAGCTTTTTTAATATCATCATCATTTAATATGTTACTAGATATATTTGAAACAATATCATTTATAAACAAATAAAATAGAAGAGGAGCTAGATTACTTCCTTAAGGAGCACCACTAGTTGAAGTGAATTCTTTTGATTTGTGTCCTTTGTATTCTACAAATAGAATACGATTCTGAAGATAAGACTGTAGTAAATTCAACAGTTGACTATCGAAACCAACAGAAAAAAGTTCATTCAGTGGAATTTGATGGTTCAATTTATCAAAGGCCTTTGAGAAGTCTGTATAGATTGTATCCACCTGTAGCCGTTTATCTAACGCAGTGCTGACCGTTTGTGTAAAACACATAAGATTAGTTATTGTTGAACGTTTATTGATGAAACCATGCTGATATAAAGTTATACTATTTCTCACTTTCGGAAAAATGTTGTTATACAGACACATCTCAAAGAGCTTTGCAAAGTTGGACAGAATTGATATGGGTCGATAGTTCAGAATGTTATTTGGAGCCCCTGCTTTCAGTATTGGACATATTTTATATACTTTCCATCTATCGGGAAAACACGCAGGCCATGTTAAAAATTAATTGAAGTGGCTTTGCAAAAATGTATGCACAGTCTTTTACTAGAATGAATATGAGCAAACAGTCAAATGAGAAATTATTCAGATTCAATATAAAAACAAACATATGTTTCTGGCTAGTTGAGTAATCATATAATCCTGTACTTTCAACTTAATTAATTACTTTTTCAATTTATTTTTGAGTTTGAGAGTAGGAATTGTATTAACTATATATTATGATTTCATCATGATAAATTGATTTCTGTCCAAAATTACATTTGAAGTTACTAACCGATGATAATTTTGTTTCTCTAGTGTTATGACTGTGAATATTATTAATTTCTATGAAATGTATGTTTTAAATTTTTGATTTATTTGTAATGTTAAATTTTAGCCAACCTGAAATTGTTTGCATGAATTTTTTCGAAGGTATCCGAAGCAAATAACAAAAGTCTGCAAAAAAAACATTTTTTAAAACTGTTTTGATTTCGTTAACTAATCTGTATGTAGTTTTTTGCTCTGATTTAAAAAATTGCATTTGTTTTTATCTATGACGTAAGGTTTGCCTGCAAAATAAGGATGGAATAATTGAAAAAGTACAAAAAAACGAGGAATTGTGGATTTATTTTTATTATTTTAACATGAAGAAAAGCAAAAAAACAATGCTACATAGCTAAACTAAGCATAATAGTGATACACAAGTGTTTGCAAAGTGATTTTTTTTTTCATCAAAGCTTCCTTTGGTACTTTTTCGGTTAACATTCCACCGACCTTGGTATCTGCGTTCCATTTTTTTTATGTCTTGATGGAACTGTTCTCCTTGTTCTTCACTCACAACTCCTAGATTTTCGGGAAAGAAGTGAGTGAAGGAAATGGACTTTGACACTCATGTTGCAGCCCAAAATTTTGTATTTTTGTATCAATTCAGCAACCAAAGTTTTGTAGTCTGGGTCTTTTTTGTTTCCAAGAAAGCCTGTTATAACAAGTGTAAATGAATTCCAGTCATTTTTTTCTTTCATTTCCATTTTAGTGACAAAGCTTTCATCTTTTGAAAGTTTTCTTATGTCAGGCCCAACGAAGACTCCTTCTTTTTAATTTAGCATCGGATAGACCATGAAACTTTTCAGGAAGATACTTGAAACAATCTCCTTCTTTGTCTAATGCTTTCACAAACTGTTTCATTAGCCACAATTTGATATAGAGTGGTGGAAGTAAGATTTTTTTAGGATGTTTTTCAACATTTTTATTCCAGGAATAAGACACTTTCTTATTGGCCACACCAGCTTGACATAGTGTTGTTTCCTGTCACGGCTATCCCAATCACATAGGAAACATGGAAACTTAGTGTAACCACTTTGTTGACCTAGTAACATTGAAATAACTTTCAAGTTTCCACAAATGGTCTACTTATGATCAGAGTAGCTGAGTTTATTAAGAACAAATTCAAGATTTTTGTAGCATTCTTTCAAATGGGCTTAGTGTTCAAAAGGCACAGAAGCATATTGGTTCCCATTGTGAAGAAGTACAGCTTTCAAACTTCTTTTTGATGAATCGATGAAAAGTCTCCATTTCTCTGGTTCATACGTTATGTTAAACATTTCCGTGACACCGGGTACATTATTGCAGAAAACTAGGTGAATATCCGTCAAGATATTAGTTAGGAAATTAGTTTTGACAAAGGCGAAAGAACCTCGTTCTGATATGGAATTTAAATAGCCTTTTATTTTAAAACCGTTAATTGTTACTTATGATTTTGAAGAATAAGTCTCACAACAAA